AATAGTCACTCCACACAAGCAAAGTACCAGCAAAGGAGGGAAAAAAACTCCAGAGACATTCCTGAGACAGGAAGTCTTGTCCTGCCAAGAATGTAATAAGAGTTAATGGAGAGGCAGTTTCTGTAAGCAACACCAGAATGTTTCCTTCCTGCCTTCCTTACAGGATTAGGCCAGTAATTTCTTCTAATAACTGGTTCTCCGAACTGCTTAGAATGTTAACAACCGGTTCTAGCGAATAGGTGCGAACCGGTAGAATCCCACCCCTGCTTCCCAGGCTCTGGAGGCTTTCCTCGAGTCTCCGGGAGGGTGAAAACAGCCTCCCCAGGCTCCAGAGGCTCTCTGGAAGCTGGAAATGGGCCAATTTCTGGCCTTCCTGAACTTCTGGGAGGCCCGTTTTTCTCCCTCCCCAAGCCTCCATGTGTGCCCTGCACTTACCTGCATCCAAAATGGGCCTCATGGGGACTCCTGGGAGGGGAGGGGGGGCAGCGAGGAGTGGGATTTGGGGGTTCTCTGAACTGCACAGAATCTTAGCTAGGGGCTCTCCTGAACCCCTGCGAAGCCCCAGCAGCCTACCCCTTAAATGCAGTGAATGCAGTTTCTTTGAAAGCAGCGCCAATCTCAAGATAGTTTTCAAGTATTTAATTTAGCCAGACTTATATAAAACTGTTATTTTGGTCAACCGTTTTGCATTTCCTTAATATAATATACATACCCATACTAAATACAGTTGCAGATGCAATCTGTGTGGTTAAATTACCATTCTGTTCAGCTTCTACAAGTGGACAAATTCCCAAGTAAGATTTTTCTACCATACATATTTTTCTACCAGTGAGTGATGATATCTCTTGTGAGTATGTTTCCCCCCGCACACACACACTATTTTTGACTTTTTGTTCAGTTTCATAGAAATTAAAAGCATGTACTTGAATTTCAGTTTTAGTTTTCACCCCCAAGTACTGAAGTCCAGAGACATCACCTTGGTGACTTTGTTTAGTCAAAGTTATAGTTTTCCCAGTAGTAATGTATGGGCTGTGAGAGATTAGCACGGTGGCCCAGTGGTGAAGACACTGGTTTTCCCCTCGGAAGATTGAAAGTTTAATCCTCGGCAACAGCAGATGTTTCTCTATCAGGGCATAAACAGGCAATATCTGCTGTGAATTCCACGTAGGCATCAGGAAAGGTATTTGGCCAATAAATGCTCAGTTCCATTCAGTTGCCTTGATCCTATACCAAATAAAGGGATTAAAGGGTCATAAAAAGAAAAGAAATGTATATCTGTGAGAGTTGAACCATAAGGAACACTGAGCACCGAAGAAATGATGCCTTCAAATTGTGATGTTGGAAAAGACACTTGACAGTTTCTTGGATGGCAAGGAGATAAAATCAGTCAGCCCTAAAGGAAATCAACTCTGATTGTTCTTTGGAAGGAGAGATACTGAACTTGAAGCTCAAATACTTTGGCCAACAAATGAGAAAAAAGGACTCTTTAGAAAAGCTCCTGATGTTGGAAAACTACAAAGCAAAAGGAGAATGGGATGGCAAAGAATGAGCTGGTTTGATAGTTTCATCAACACAATGAACATGAATAAGGGCAAACTCTGTCAGATGGAGTAGAATAAGTAGGTTTGACAATCTGGTCCGTGAGGTCACAAAGTCAGACACAATTTAGTGACCAACCAACAACTGAAGTCTGGCCTATGGCTTGCCATGTTAAAGCTAACTATGTTCCTTAGCCTGAAAAATTTATATACTCCAGTCTTGATATGCAAAGACAGAGTCCCCCAACCTTTCCAAGTTGATGGCCCAGAGCAAGGGGGGTGGGGAAGAAGGGAAAGAGGGGATGGTTTTGTGGGAGAGGCAGGCGTGTGTACATGCACGTGTGCATGTGTGAGTGGAGCCGCAAGGTCCTGTGACACTCATCCGAATGTGGCCCTGAGAGCCCGCGATGCTTGTGGAAGTGGGGATGTGCATGCACGTGTGCACCAGCCAGCCACTCATGCAGTCCTGTTTTGAATAAGCTGCAGACTGATAGTTTGCCCTGGCCCACAGGTTGGGGGGGACCCCTGTGCTAAGAGATATGAACAAAAGAATATTAATGAAGACCGTGCAGTTATTCTTGGGGCTTCATCAGTATGAATTGAGTGTTTTGCTGCTTCTAGATTGTGAAGAGTCAAATTTCTAATTTGATTCATTACTATCATTAAAATCTTTAATGACCTCTGTTGTCTTTTATCAGGTTCAACTCATATATTAGTAGCTTGTTCATTTGGATGGAGTCACCTGGTTGAAATTACAGACACTCTGATAATGTTTCATTTAGATAATTATAATCATGTTTGTAGTGCTGCTTTAATATCAGTTTGGTATTAATTCAAACTATGGACAACAGATTACAAATGTTGGCTCCCCGTGTGTAATTGAGCCCAGCTTAAAATGTTGGTTTTTAATCCTAAAAGTCCTAAATTGCTTAGTACTAGTTTACCTGGAAAGTTGTCTATATTTCTATTTATTTATTTATTGCATTTGCTGCCTGATTCGATAAAAAAAAAAGTTCTCTGGAAGTTTTAGCATAAAAATAGTAAAATACATAAAAACCAATAAAAAAGAACTAGAGTATAATAGGCCAATTCATATCTATCTATCTGAACATTATGGGCATTTTTCCAGAGGCCCTACCTCATGATTATTATTCAATGAAATTACATGGGGGGGGGGGTCATTAATTGTACTCTGTCTTGGAACAGCCTACTCACTCAGCAAGATATGTCACATGAGATCATTGGGCAGCAGGAAACATTCATCCAGACTTTTAAAATAAATTACATACCGTAATTAACTTGTGATCTCTCAGTTTTCAAATTATTCTGTGGTTGCTGTGAGTTTTTATTTTTGTTGCATTAATCTTGTTTTTGATTCCGCACAGCCTTTTGTTTTAAATTGGTTTTATGTTTACTTATTGTAATCTTTCCACAAAGTTTCATCTTACACGGTGCTATACAAATGTCATAAATATTTAAAATAAATAACGTTTAGGCAATCTTTTCTTTTTTTCCCCTTTTGTAAATATTTTTTCTTCAAATTAAAAATGCTAGTGATAAGAATGGTAACTTTAAGAATTAGTAATTGTGCTTTGAACTTTGAGTGTAAATCTTCCAACAAGGATTAGATGAGCACTGAGAATCTTTTGAGCTAAAGAAAGGAATAAAAAATATGTTAAATAAATAAATACTGCATTATCTCAAAGCACTTTTTAACTGTTACTGAATAAACCATTGGATTGGTTCATACAATACACTGTCATAAATCATGGCTTACAAATTACATTGGTTATGTTTATATAATGTCCTAAACTAAAAATAAACTACATTGTGATTAATATGATATATGATCTTAGCAGTAGCTGTGTTTGTACAATACTCTTAGTTAAATGCCATCAAGTAGAACTTGTCTGGTGATGACTGCATGGGTAAATGCTTGACAGCTTGACATATCCCAAGCAACAACCCTAGCTCTTCTTTGAATTCATCATCCATCTCATCCATTGTCACCCCTTAATTTTCTTTCCTTAGCTTTGCCAAACACCGTTTTTCTTTTCCAGTCTCTCAACTCTTCATATCACGTGCCCGAAGGATTGTGCTTGACTGATCACCACCTCAAGGAAACAGTCAGTTCTTTTAATCCAGGACTGATTAATTGGGTTCTTGAAGTCCATGACCTTTTAGTGACCGTCTCCAAATCTGTAATTTGAAGGAGCCTATCTTGTTCGCCTTGTTCTTTTCAAATATCTGGGTTTTAGAGTCATTACTTTCCATATTGTTATAGAAATATCTCCTTTTTAAAAATGAACTTGTTTAAGTTTGTCATAGATTCCATCCCTAGGATTATTATTATTTTTGCTCATGTAGTATTATTTTCCTGTTTAGCTATTCTTGAGCTCATAGGAGGAAACCACCTTCAGTTTTTTACTTTCGGGTGTAAATTTCTTATGCATATTATTTAATTCTGTCTTAGCTTTTATTCTGATGTTGTTTTCTTTCTACTTTACCCAATAACCAACCTACAACAACATTTATGCAAAGCATTCCATAATTCAAAGGTATTTACTTTGTCATGTACTATGTAATATTTTTCTTCATCGTATTCATATACTTCTTAATGATCTAAAATGGGAGGAGGAGGGAAATGGTCTACACACCCAACATAAAATCACAACATTCCCAAATCTGCTTGTTATTGTTACCTTACTATGCTTGCAACCATCTTTTTTTCCCTATATGTACTACAGAATGACTTTTGGGTTTTAAATTAGTGTATTTCACTGGTTAAGATAAAAATTTACCATAGCTAAACAAAAATGGCAGATCTTTTCCAAAAACAATAGCAAAATAAAGAACAATACATGAATTAAAATAGTGTGAATAGACCTATAGACAATGTATTAAAATTGAAGGTGTTAAAGTTTGTTATAAGCAAGCAATAGCCTGAGAAAATTCTAAAAATCAGAGGCTATAAATGTTCTTGGTTTCCTGATTGTGCAAGCAAGAATTGCTATCAGTGGGTAATAATGTTTGAATTAGCATTTCTAAGGATACTACTGATTAAGGCACCAGCTAAAAACCAGGAGACTTGAGTTCTAGGCCTCCCTTAGGCAGGAAAGCTGTTGGAAGACTTTGGGCCAGTCACACTCACTGGTTGTTTTTGTTGGGAAAATAAAAAAAAATAAGGAATATTGGGTGTATTTTCCGCCTTTACTTATTTATAAAAAATATTAAAGGCAGAGTTAAAAATCCTTTTCTGATTGTGTATAACAAGTAGAAACTGTTTGACCAAGCAATGCAACAAACAACACCTTTTGGCCCATGTATTCGTCCTTTGTTGTTTTTATGGAAATACTGATACCCTTTTATGATATCAAAAATAGATTTTACACAACCAATAGATGTACGTGGGAATAATAATTTTACAGCATTTCTTTTATTCCTCTTTCCCCCGCTCTTCAGATAGATAAATGGCTGGCCTTGTGGGTAAAACTCTTGCTTACACCTGAATACGTCCAAATTCAGACCCTCAATCGACTTTAGCTTTTCTGCCTGCCTATATTTTGGTAAGTTTTTTCTTTGTGCATGTTTGTAACTTCACAGTACACAGTACACGTTTAAAATAATGTTCACCTTTAAACATTTAACATTTTACTTTCTTTCCTGGTACTGCACTTGGCTGGCTAGGTCAGGAGCATCAAACTCGCAATGACACGTTGTCATGTGACTTATCACAACTTTTTTTCCCCTTTGCTAAAACGGGGTGGGCATGGCCAGCATGTGATGCATCTGGCCCACGGGCTGTGAGTTTGACACCCGTAGTCGAGGTGCACAGTTTGAACTAGGACAATTATTATTGTGATTAGCGTGGTAGTGGTAATATTAAAGGAATGGGCAAGCCATAGGTAGTTCATACTTACTTCCCCTTCTCCTAATGTTTAGTGATACAAAGCTTTAGCTGTGAAAAAGTTAAATTACTGTATACGTACCACTATCTACTACTCATAGTTTCACAACTGAAAACTTTAGAAAATAAATACCATGCCATCTGAATCTAGAGCAAATTGATAGAATTATGATAATGGTTTTGGGTCATATAGAAGATAATGTGAAATATTGTTTTTCATATTTTAATGTGAGGGATAATTTGGCCAAAAACCTGGATATAGCCATGGATAACTGCACACAGGTTCAGTATCTGGCAGAACTTAGGATACATGGCCTGAACTGCAGTGAAGCTCTTCTGGGGATAAGGGCAGTCAGAAGACATGGCTTCTATTAGTTTTGATCAATCTAGTAGTTTCATATTTTTATCAGTTTGTCTAAGGGATGTTGGTATGTACAGAGAGTCCTCAACTTACAGTTCATTTAGTGATTGTTCAAAGTTACAATGGCACTGAAAAAAAGTGATATATGACCATTTTTTCACAGCTGTGATCTTTGCAGGATCCCTCTGGTCACATGATAAAAATTCAGATGCTTGGCAACTGGTTCATATTTATGATAATTGCTGTGCCCTGGAATCACGTGATCATCTTTTGCAACCTACTGGCAAGCAAAGTCAATGGAGAATCCAGATTCACTTAAAAACTAACTTAACAACTGCAGTGATTCACTTAACAACTATGCCAAAAAGGTCATAAAATGGGGCAAAGCTGCCTTAACAAATATCTCCCTTAACAACAGAGATTTTGACCTCAGTTGTGGTTGTAAGTCAAGGACTATCTGTACCAAAGATCTTTACTTGAAGAGAATTTTAAGGTTTGATCATTATATATTTTCCTTTGTTAAATCCTGAGAATAAAAATAGTCATAGGCTAGGATAGAATTACTTGGAGAAATTCCTAAAGTACTGAAATTTTAATTTTAACATAAATATGAACCAGTTGCCAAGCATCTAAAATACTAGTAAACCATTGTGATATCTTTGGGAAGAGTAAGATAAAAATGGAGGCATTCATAAAAGAAATCTAGTTGAGTTTCTGCACAATTGTCATGAATATTTATGGTTTGTCTACTTTGCTTCTTTTGCTGATGAAGAATAGTTCAGTAGTAGCAGTCATTCCATCTGAAATACACTGCTCAAAAAAAAATAAAGGGAACACTTATACAACACAATGTAACTCCAAGTCAATCACACTTCTGTGAAAAGTGTCCACTTGGGTAGCAACACTGATTGACAGTCAATTTCACATGCTGTTGTGCAGATGGAATAGACAACAGGTGGAAAGCATAGGCAGGTAGCAAGACATCCCCAATAAAGGAGTGGTTCTGCAAGTGGTGACCACAGACCACTTCTCAGTTCCCACGCTTTCTGGCTGATGGTTTGGTCACTTTTGAATGCTGGCAGTGCTTTCACTCTAGCGTAGCATGAGACGGAGTCTACAACCCACACAAGTGGCTCAGGTAGTGCAGCTCATCCAGGATGGCACATCAATGCGAGCTGTGGCAAGAAGGTTTGCTGTGTCTGTCAGCGTAGTGTCCAGAGCATGGAGGCACTACCAGGAGACAGGCCAGTACAGGAGACGTGGAGGAGGCCATAGGAGGGCAACAACCCAGCATCAGGACCGCTACCTCCGCCTTTGTGCAAGGAGGGACAGGAGGAGCACTGCCAGAGCCCTGCAAAATGACCTCCACCGGACCACAAATGTGCATGTGGCTGCTCAAATGGTCAGAAACAGACTCCATGAGGGTGGTATGAGGGCCCAACGTCCACAGGTGGGGGTTGTGCTTACAGCCCAACACCACGCAGGACGTTTGGCATTTGCCAGATAATACCAAGATTGGCAAATTCGCCACTGGCGCCCTGTGCTCTTCACAGATGAAAGCAGGTGAGCACATGTGACAGACATGACAGGGTCTGGAGACGCCGTGGCGAACGTTCTGCCTGCAACATCCTCCAGCATGACCGGTTTGGCAGTGGGTCAGTAATGGTGTGGGGTGGCATTTCTTTAGGGGGCCGCACAGCCCTCCATGTGCTCGCCAGAGGTAGCCTGACTGCCATTAGGTACCGAGATGAAATCCTCAGACCCCTTGTGAGACCATATGCTGGTGCGGTTGGCCCTGGGTTCCTCCTAATGCAAGACAATGCTAGACCTCATGTGGCTGGAGTGTGTCAGCAGTTCCTGCAAGACGAAGGCATTGATGCTATGGACTGGCCCACCCGTTCCCCAGACCTGAATCCAACTGAGCACATCTGGGACATCATGTCTCGCTCCATCCACCAACGCCACGTTGCACCACAGACTGTCCAGGAGTTGGGGATGCTTTAGTCCAGGTTTGGGAGGAGATCCCACAGGACAGGGGTCCCCAACCACCGGTCCGCGGACCGGTACCGGTCCGCGGAACAAGTCTTACCGGGCCGCTGGTTGCTGGGCGCCGCCATCTTTTTTTGGTAAAAAAGTGCTTCCGGTGAGCTTTTCCGGGTAGAAAGCTCACCGGAAGCACTTTTTCATCAAAAAAAGATGGCGGCGCCCAGTTGATGCCGGTACCGGGCCGCGGCGCCCAGCTGATGCCGGTACCGGGCTGCGGCGTCAAAAAGGTTGGGGATCACTGCCACAGGAGACCATCCGCCACCTCATCAGGAGCATGCCCAGGCATTGTAGGGAGGTTATACGGGCACGTGGAGGCCACACACACTACTGAGCCTCATTTTGACTTGTTTTAAGGACATTATATCAAAGTTGGATCATCCCGTAGTTTTTTTCCACTTTAATTTTGAGTGTAACTCCAAATCCAGACCTCCATGGGTTGCTAAATTTGATTTCCATTGATAATTTTTGTGTGATTTTGTTTCCAGCACATTCAACTATGTAATGAACAAAGTATTTAATAAGAATATTTCATTCATTCAGATCTAGGATGTCTTATTTTTGTGTTCCCTTTATTTTTTTGAGCAGTGTATATTTTTGCCCACTGCATTTTTCATGAAAAGAGTATGCAACTAATTTTTAATGGTTTTTAATGTACTATTATTGTGATATCATAGTGCTTTTCATTACTTTAAGTATGTCAGTGTATTCTTCCTGACGTAATGGCCAATGTATATGAAGCCAGAATGAACTTAATCCAGAAAGGTTCAACAATAATGAACCCCTGCAGTCTAAAGTTACAAGTTTTAGTTATTGTTTCTAATTAGATATAAATGTTTAAGTTATAGATAATCTTTGATTTATAACCGGTCGCTTAGTGACTGTTTGAAGTTAGCACAGACCTCCCTTGGAGTTATTTGTGAAATGATTTTGAAGTTACAACAGCATGTGGGGCAAGTTACAATGCTCCACATGCTCCACGACCACATGTTGGACACTTGGCTACCGGCCTGCATTTACAGCTGTTTGTAGTGTCTCACAATCAGGTGACTACATTTTATTATAGGTTTGCTGAAATACAACATTTATTTTCAATTATCCACAAAACTGGCCCATAGTGAACCGTTGTTCCCAGTGGTGGGATTCAAATTTTTTTTACTACTGGTTCTGTGGGCGTGGCTTGGTGAGTGTGGCAGGGGAAGGATACTGCAAAATCTCCAGTCAGAGGTGGTATTTGCTGGTTCTCCAAACTACTCAAAATGTTCGCTACCGGTTCTCTAGAACCGGTCAGAACCTGCTGAATACCACCTCTGGTTGTTCCCCTCAAAAACCTCAATGTTTGCTTAATGAGTGCCTCAAAAAAGATAAAATTGGATCAGTAATGTGGGTGATGTGATTTACTATCCTCACAACTTATGTCGGTGTTGGCTTGGTTCCATTAGAGTTGTAAGTCAAAGGCTACCTGTGCCAACTGCTTTCTGTGAGTATTCCAGGCTTAAAAATGTATCTGCTGGTTAGTCCTAGTGTAACCTAATTTTGTATCTATATAAATGGACTGGAGGGAGTGTTGTTTTGTATGTTACCTGCATCCCGCAGATGGGGCTTCACTTGTTTGCATGGCCAGGTTTCTGGCATGCCGCAGACCAGTGCCAGTCCATGGACCAGGGGTTGGGGACCCTTGATATAGGGGGTGGGTTTCAAATTTTTAAGAAGGGGTTCTCTGCCCTAATGACTGGCTGGATGGGTGTGGCTGGGTGGTCATATGACTGGGTAGGTGTGGCTAACTCGACATTGCTTCTTTGCCCTAATTACCTAAAAAATGGTATATACCTTTTATATACCTTTAAGGTTATTATTTTGTGCATGTTATACTTAAATAAAAGACTGGATAAAACCAGGCTTAATAGCAGTGACGGTGAGAGGGATCTTGGGAGTCTTTGTGGAGTTTCTGGTGAGTTACATGATTCTTATTATTTGGGAATTAATCCCCTCAGAGGCTAGTGGCTATGTTATCTGATTTTCTCAATGGGTCTCCCTTGCAAGCGCTGAGTGGATTGTTTATCTAGCTTGCAACACTTTTACAAGGTGTGAAATACTCTTGGCTGAACACCCAGAAGTTCAGTTAAGCCTATTAAGAGCTTTCCCTTGCTGCTTGTCTTTCTGAGGTTATTGGGGGCTCTACGAGCCCCGCAGAGTGTTAGCTAGGGGCTCTCCTGAGCTGCTGCAAGCTGCCAGAAGCTCACCCTTGTATACGG